CGTCACTAAGCGACTGGGGCGCCGAATCCGTCAACGAGTAATCATCAGACGTCTTAATCATAGGCTTGCGTCTCGAACCCCGAGGTCTAAGCGAGGAAGGCTGGCGCCACAGGCATGTCCCTACCGCGTCGGTTCGATAGGGGGCTCGTTGAAGTCGGGTGACTGTAGAAAGGCGTTGGCAAGCTCCGGTGAATTAGTCGCTTATTGTACGCAGTTTCAAATGGACGGCGTCAACAAAAAAGGAAGTTCTATTCCCTTGTTCATGCCCGGTAAGCGAACGATAGCCATCTCATCCCAGGGATATGATTGGCGTCGCAGTAGGCCTTTCGCACTAATTTGAAAAATCTTGGCCATTTTCGAGTGGCGGAACTCGACTTCGTCTAACAGAGCCGCTTCCCCCCCCTTGAATGACGGCGCCAATCGCTGTGCGAGGTCGGGATGTCTGAAGGTATTCACCGCCGGGGGTGATAACTATGAAGCAGTCGAGTGGCTTTCGCTGAGCGGGAGACCAACGACCTTGGGATGGCCGCCGCCAGCGCGCGAGGAGAAGCCGCCACAGGCCGAGCCTTCGGCGTCGTGAACAGTGACGCTCTGGGTCTCGACTGGGCGCGCGTCGGCTACTTTGCGAACGTCGAGGCCGAACGTGGCTGCTGCTATTGGGTGTTCAGGTAGATTGGCTGCCGAACGTCACCGATGCCGCTGTTGCACATAGTCAGCACGCCAAAGACGGCTGGAGCGCCTGGGTGACCGCCATCACCTACCCCCGGATCGCTATGAGACGATGGCGCGAACGCCGGGGAGCAACTTGCCGATGGCCATGGTCCATGAACTCGTCAAGTCAATCAGGATCCGCGCGCCGACCGCTTGTGCTGAATTGGAAGTCGCCCTGCACGCCGCTGGCTATCGTCGACGCTACGCCAGCGTTCGTGTTCTCGATCACGGTCGGCAATCTGCGAGTGTTGGCCGCTGAGAGAGCTGCGAGCCTCGCGCCAGACCGACGATCACTAGGGGATATGAGCTGTTCTCGCAGTCGGCCCTTCACCGCCGCTTACGCCCATGCTTTCCCGCCCCCGCACGGGTTCCCCCAGGGGCTGCTTACCGTGATCGCTCGGGCCGTACGTCGCTACATTATGCCCGGGCGGTCGCAAAACTCGTTGCGGGTAAGCATTCTTGCCCAGATGTCGTTCATTATGGGCCCCCAGGGCTCCTTCGTCTTCTACCTGGGTTGCCGCCTTCGAGGACGGAGCCGCCCTCGTCAACGGTTCTTCATGCTATCCGTACCTCTACACGGCTACACCGTCGCGGACGTAGTAGTCACGGGCGTCGGCAATAAGCCGGTCGGCCAACTGGCGGACGGTGACCATTGGCGCCGCCAAGCGTCGGTGCTTCGGTAACCTCTATGCCAAGCAGGAGACGAAGCATGACTTTGACGTAACGCTCTTGGGCTTCGGCCGAGCGCCACTGCCCGAGGTAGATGCGCCGCTCTGGGATGATCCAGACGCAGGCCAGATTGCAGTGCTTGAAGTGGCAGAACTTCGGGACTTTGACGGGCATTGGAGGGCTGGGGCTAAGTCCAACCGTTACGGTGTAACGGTGCTTGGCTCGCCGACAGCAGCTCTGGCCATCAGAGGGTTGGGCCGTAAGGCGCCACGCCGAGAGGAGTTAAAAGCAGTGGGCGATACAGAACTCGAATCTGTGACCTCTGCCGTGTGAAGGCAGCGCTCTAACCAACTGAGCTAATCGCCCGCGTGTTCTTGCCAGCCAGAAGCTAGGTCTAGCGGCGAGCCCCAAATCTTAGCGGGAGGCCCGAATGGTAGCCAGAGCCAAAGGGCCCCGCTAGACGGTTGCGGCCGACCCCCGCTTGGTGCTCAGCCGACATTGGACGGACTGGGCGCCGGACTCGGAGCTGGAGCCTCTTCACGACGATCGACGGCCGCCAGAGCATCTTCTTCACTAACCGCATCGGTCTCTGGTACATGGGAGTCGTAGGCCGAGTCGCTGGCGCTGTCGTCGCGGCGAGGGGGGTCTTCGTCGTGGGCAACCTCGGCCGCGTTGGGGAGCCGGCCTTGGGCGCCTTGCACCGGA